ATATTATCCAATTATCAATGCATCAGTCAGCTTTATTCTCCTTCTGATGGTACTGAAGTTCTGGAGCTTTGATCTTGGATTATTGAAGTGACTTCAGAAAACCATGTGAAGAAAATTAAGAAAAGGAACTTATAAATTGATAAAATGAAAACAAAAGGCTCAACTTTTTCTCAGTTTTCATACAAAATCTTCAAGAGGTTTCTTTACTGACCTCTGTAATGGGATGATTTTAGCGTTCCAGCTAATGAATTATCTGAAACATTCCTGTTCAAAGATAACATAGTTTCAAGCACTATAAAAGATTTTCCAAAGTTTTCTAGTGCTTGAGAAAATTATATTTTAACTACTCACAATATTTCCAAGCTTCCAGTGGTAGCAAGGTTGAGCACTTGAATTGGCAAAACACCAGATAATTTATTTCCATTCAATTCCCTACAAGAAGTTAATATCTGTACGTTCTGTCAACAATATTACATACTTTATTAATAATTCTTTAAGACCATTGAAATTAAGCTCTATAAGTGCACTTACATATATCTTAGTGATTTTAGATTCCCAAGTTCAGGAGGAATGGCACGGCTTTTGAATTAATATAGAGCTCCATCTTCACTAAATTTGTTAGGGTTCCAAATGCTGAAGGAATTGATCCACTTATATTATTTTCAAAAAGATATCTGCAAATATTATTTTTCATTAATATACATATATGAAAATTTTAAGAAATAAAAAAATGCAAAGTAACTAATCAAATATAATGAAATTTTAAAGTAGTAAAATAAACATTTGCTTATGTATCATTTTAATATAAAATCGAATCAAAAGGAACTATTGCTTACAAATATTGAAGGTTTTCCAGTTCTCCTAATCTGGGAATAAGAGGTCCAGAAAGTTGTGCATTGCCCAAATCTCTGCAAAAAAACATGAGTGAAAATATTAATAATACACATAGGATACAATTCTTTTAAAAAAAATATAAATATGTTAAAACTGCCTCAAATTATAATGATATGTACTATACTTACAATCTTATAACTGAATTGTCACCGTTGCATGTGACATGAAACCAAGAGCAGGGATTGACTAAAGTTGGCTCCCAACTTTGAACAGCATTGTTTGGGTTAGTCCAAGTTATTCTTTGTGCATGTAAGATGTCTCCTGCATGATTTTAATTAAGTTAGATAAGTTTTACAAATAAATACAACCAAGCCAAAAAAAAGTAAGTCATTATTTCTGCAAAGCAATGCAAGTTAAACAATAAAATCTCTCTGCCTTATCAATTTCTAAAAGCAAGTTTAGTGGTTCACCTATATGTATGTTATGTATGTGTGTGTGTATACATACATGCATACATAAACTTTGTTGTTAGATGTACTGGATGAAATAATAAAAACTCTCAATCACTTAAGAAATAAGAACTGTTATATACCTCCGATGTTGCAACTCATTAGTGATGGAAATGCAAGCCCAAGAAGGAGAAGAGCCGTAACTTGGATCCCCATTAGACAAGATAAATGAATGAATTAGGAGAAGGATTAATAGTGATATAGTTCTAGTATTTCCTTTATGCTTGTGTCACTTAAATCCTTAAATCTATGGCCACGTCAGAAGATTAACATACAAGTTTTGAAAGTGAGGGACTTAGACAAAGATGATTCCAGATATAATTCACGGTCAATTTCTAGATAGTCTTTAATTATTTTACAATAATCTTTTAAGTCCACGTAGGAAAAAGACGGGTAGGATTAGAAATCAATATCATCTTCAATAAAGTAGAAAAGTCTTCAATTTAGGCAGAACTAGTCATCGAAGAGTCACCATGATTGTCAAATGACAATGTTTCTACTTATTATGGCCATTTTTCGATGGCAATTGATGGAAATTTTCCAAGGTGAACTAATATTTTGACCATTTACTTGTATAGCGTATACACGTTTTAGAATCTGTCAACATGGCATATGTGGGCCAATATGTTGTTATAATATAAGTGGAGATATGCACTAATGTTATAATATAAGTGGAGATGTGCACTAAGTAATATGGTAAGAAATGAGTGCATTGAAGTAGGTGTTGCTCTTATTCATAGTAAAAAGAGTAAGAATCGATTAAAAAAACTTACGGTTTTTTTATAAAGTGCCTATGGGCACTCTATAAGAGAGGAGAGAGATAGAGAGAAATAAATTATGCACAGAAATTAATACAAATCAGAGGGACCCATGGACTATTCATCTCTCTCTCTCTCCTCCCTTATAGAGTGCCCATGGGCACTCTATAGAAAAACCGAAAAACTTAAATCAAATTCCAAACAAAGATCACTAATTGCACTAGGGACAATAACTGATAAGATTATACAGCTAATGGGGCCCATGAGAGTTAATAATAGATCTTAAAGAAAAGCAATTGAAATGCATGACATATTGTAAAACTAACGAGCAGATAAGCATAGTGAAGGAAATGTTATGATTGATGTAGCTGAACTCAAAAAATGGGAAAATGACTATATCATGGAATAATCTTTCCATGAGAGGAAGCTTCCAATTGAAAATTTATACTCACCACATTGGTGAACTCCATCATAGGATGTAAGTGATTATTATGTCAGTTTCTTTCTTGTTCACCAACTTGCTAGCATCAATCCGAGGAAATAAATCTTGGTTGTTAGAAGTAGGAATCAGAGTGAATAAGCTTTTAAAATTCAATTCCAATTGGTTATACAGGCCCATTAAAATATTGGACGGCCCAATTGAAATTTTATATTCACCTCATTGGTGAATTCCATCATAAGATGGAAAGTGACTATTATGTCAGTTTCTTTCTTGTTCACCAACTTGCTAGCATCACTCCAAGGAAATAAATTTTGGTGGTTGCAAGTAGGAATCAGAGGGAATAAGCTTTTAAAATAAGAGTCCAATTGGCTATACGGGCCCATTAAGATATTGGACGGCCCAAGTCCTAGCCCTTGGGTTTTGAACTAGCCAGCCCATTCATACGCATAAGGTGACACTTGGCTAAATATTTATATATGTACGAGTTGCTAAACCGCATCACGATCCAGGAAAATATACTTAATTGTATCCGTTAGAATACGTATATGATTATTCAAATCTACAACCAATAAGATATGATTACGGATATATTTTTAGTGAAATATCTAGATCCGTATCCGAAATATCCAAATAAATATTAATCATACTGTTACGATAGTTTTAATCCTTACATTATGGATTTGAGGTTAATTTTGATGATCAATATGTCTAATCTTAGCTTTTTAGATAAAATGAACATATTAATGAACTCTTTTGTATCACATGAACTATATTTTTAACACTATCTAGTTTTCTCATATCTGTTTTTTATCCGTATACATATCCGCTCATATATCCGGATATATATAATTTTTGGTGGTTGCAAGTAGGAATCAGAGGGAATAAGCTTTTAAAATAAGAGTCCAAATGGCTATACAGGCCCATTAAGATATTGGACGGCCCAAGTCCTAGCCCTCGGGTTTTGAACTAGCCAGCCCATTCATACGCATAAGGTGACACTTAGCTAAATCTATCTACCCTTTAAAAGAGGGAGTACTAGAAAAACTTTCACTACCCCAAATTGCCCTTCAACTTTTGTAAATATAACAAAGTTAATTTGGATCTAATTAATGGGCAAATTTATGTGGTGTTTTTTATTATTATTAAGAATTTATAAAATGAGTTATAAAATCAAAAGCTTTCACACCCAATAAATTCCAACTAATTGTCACAAGTTATGAGTTTTTTTACTTAAGAATTAATGGAAAATTTGTTACGAAATGAAGAGGCTAAATATAGCATGGAACAGTGAGAACATTTCAGATTCTAGGACTCTAAAAAGGTTTCCGAAAGTAGCCTGGCAACATGCCCGCTTGTTGTGGAAAAACTCGGTTCGTCTTCTTCTACAACGAAGGATGTGTTTCATGCATTGAGATTAAACAACATTCTTAGATGTTAGATTGATGCCAAAACCAGTAAGGTATCTTTATTAGCTAAGAAAAAAAAAATATTTTCCCCCCAAAATTTTTATGCTGATATTGAATTACCCATACATCTTCTTTTTGTTGAAGAGAATTGTGGGGAATTGCACAGGAATGCTAGACTCAACTGATTGTGCCTCCCATTTTGTTTGAAGAGAGCTGCTCGAGCAAGTCAATCCCCCTCCATCTCCCTCCCTATTCCTTCTCTCTCCTCTCCCCTATCGCTAAAGGTAAACTTTCACCAAACCCCCTATGTCTTTTCTCTAATTTTCTGTTAGTCCATTCTGAGACTCTCCTTTGATTTCACCAAACAAAAGGTTCTGAAAGCACCGTCTACGACGTGAGGCTCGATGGCCGGAGAGTCACCATCAAAAAACCTGTCCTTTCCTCTTCAGACGACCTCGACAAGTTCCACAGAGAACTTCAACTGTGGTGGTAAGAAAGTTTACACTCCTTTAGGTGGTTTTCACTTAAAGTTGGGATTTTGGGAGTGCCCATGTTGACCAATATGGATAATTTTGATGTTGGTTTTTTTTAGCGTGAAGTGAAGTGGATCATCCTTGATTGGCTAAGTTGGTTATTGCTCATGCGAGGCCTCCAAATTATTTGTTTTTCTTTGAGTTTTATGAGTGGGGGAATTTGGCAGAGAGATTGCATGTTGAGGAGTGGAGCCCTGAGATTGATGAAGAACTCGTGATTACTTATGATCTCGGTATATTCTTTTGTATAATGTGTTGTATATGACTATTTACCGAAAATATCCTGTGAGATCAAATTAGACATTGCATTGTTTGTTTTGTACTAAATTGTTTGTTATTATTTCAGCTGATACACAAGTTTATTATGCTCGAGTTCTATTTCTATTGATATAGTTACATCCTTAATTGCCTTCTCTTTGATCTTCAATGTGTTCTGATATTATTTGAAACTTTATAAACATAAAAAACATATTTTCATTTTTCTGATGCAGAATCAAGGTTTTGATGTGTCATTGTCAGATGCCAGTAGTGTTTTTGATTCCATAAAGGTGATAAGCTTTCAACTCCTATGTATTCTTTTTCTTTTTTGCTACTTTTCCATTTAGTGAAGTGATATAACTTAAACCATTATTACATCAGTCGCTTAGTCAAAGTGATGGAAGATAACGATATGATTCTAGCAGTGTTGAATCTAGCACTTATGTTGCTGGTACTGAAATCTTTTACCTTTCTTGGTATCTATGTTGAAAATAACTTAACACTGGTACTGAAATCTTTTACCTTTCTTGGTATCTATGTTGAAAATAACTTAACACTAGATGCTACATTTACCAGTTTATGTCTTTTGTAATTATTGCTTCACTTTGATTGGCTGGAAATCGTCTCATGTTAATGTTATAACTGGTAAGTACAACTACTGTTGTGCTTGATCAAACTGATCACTTTTCATGCTTGTACGGTTGCAGGGACAACACTTGAAACACTTGCAGGAGTGGTTTCCCTGGTAGATCCAGAGGTGGATCAATCAAGGGTAAGACTTACATTACCAATGTTTGTTATTTAAATTGCATGATTGTGTTATGATTAGCTTTGAGTAACTATTTGATATCAGAATGATCGTTCATAATTTTTACTCCTATTTAAAAATTAAGGAGAATATCTCTTAGTTTTGCTTATAATTACACTTCGTAGATTAGATGCATTGCTATCCCACTAAACTTTATTTTGCTTAAATGTAAGACTCATTGGCTTTAGGTTAGTATGGCAATGTGATTCTATGTTAATCTTTCGTGGCCATTTGAAAATAAAAATTCTTTATTTTACTCAAGCTCTAAGGCTTCTTGCAAAGTTGCAAGCTTGCAATACATCTTGCTAATCCATAATACTCTGAAGCATTATCACTAAGAAGGCAATACTTCGTCCAAGTTGTGTGAGATAGGAATGCAACATGCGATTGAGTACCAAATTGAGTGATGACTTTTTTTTCATAGGTAAAGAATATTTCACTGATTATCAGGTGTACAAGGGTACTTAGGCATTCCAAAGTATAACAAAAGTAGGCTTCCAACAGCAAGAAAAAACATCACAATGCTGCATGAGAGAACAATATACAAATATAAGTTAGTGTCATTTAAAATCACCAAGTTTGCAGGCCATCAAGCTGTGAATTTTATTGAGTAATCCTGCGAGGGAATTGCTAATGCCTCTAAATTGTCTGCAGTTTCGTTCCTGCTAAATATAGTATATAGTTGCTGTTAGACCCTAGAGGGGGAGTGATTAGGGTCTTATGCTAATCTAATCCGATTTTATGCCAATTAAAATTAATTAACAAGTTATCCTAGTAAGTATAAAATACAACAAGATATGTAAGCTAGGATAAGCAATATGAACAAAGAGATATATCCTAGCAAAGAGATATACAATATGATATATGCAAGGATATGTAAACTAACACAAGGGTAAACAATATGAACTAGATAGTGGATGATAAAAATAATGAGATATGGACAATGGCGATAAGAAATATAAACATAAGATTGAGTGCGTCAAAGCAAACTCAAACACACGATATGATGACGGAGTTCGGACCTTTCGTCCTACGTCTTCGCTCCCCTCTCCCGGGGAGAAATCCACTATCACAACCGGGTTTTCTACGCTCACCCGAATAACGTTTACAACCACACTGTGTCGGTTTTCAACGATCACCGATCAACGTATACACTCACTCACAATGTCGGTTTTTAACGTTCACCAATTAACGTCCACTCCTCACACTCGGTTTTCTAGCTAACCGAAAACTGTACAATCTCACAAAGATAACAAATGATTTGTTCTCTAATACAATGCGAGAACTCAATTAAAGCTTAACTCAATGTTATAATTTCTCACAACCCTAATATACTATGTATGTAAATACTAAAAGCTCATGTGGGTGTGTGTAACAATAAGAATAAATAAAGCAACTAAACTCAAATAAAATCTAGCATATAGAAATTATGAATAAAATAATAAATAGCTAGAAATAGAGTTTAGGAATTCTTCTCTGAAAAACAAGAGGGAGAGATGGATTAAAAGGAAGCTCAAACAATGTAGATGATCTCCTCCACTTGTGAACCAACCAAAATAGCTTTAAACCAAACTTAAACCCCTATTAAAACTTTTATAAACTTATTTAAAATATCCCATTGGTTACTGAGATAGAAGGAGGTTTGAGGATTTATATAGGAAGAGGAAGCAACAGCAAAAACCCCAAAGGAAAAGACCAAACAGCCTAAGAATCAAAAATCTGATTCTGTACCAAAAGAACCGTTGGGATAAACGGCGGTCGACCGCGGCGGTCGACCAAAAACAATAGGAGAAACTCCAGAGAGTTCGACGGTCGACCGCGGTGGTCGACCGTGAGGAATTCAGCTTGACGGTCGACCGTGGCGGTCGACCATGAAAGTTTCTGCTGCCCACTATGGAAAAGACTCATGCGCAGTCGACCGTGGCGGTCGACCGTGAACTGATATATAAAATTTTATAGTTTTAAACAGTTTTCTAATTTTAAAATACTGTTTAAAAATATCAAATAAATTCTAAAAAATGTAAAACTTTGGGGAATGATTATAGACATGATAATAAACATGCTACAACAAATGGTTTCTAAAAAGAACTTCCTAAATGAAAAATATTATTATTTTACAAAATAGGCCAAAACATGAAAATGTAAACATGTGAATTTTGACATTTTGGCTAAACCATGTTTTAAAACTTTACACAATGATTATGTAGACTTAATAAAATATGTATATGATTATTGTTAAGTCCAAAAACCAAGAATACAATATTTTGCAAATACAATAGAAAATGAAACATATGAGTATGTATATAAAAATATATTTGTTTCATATCTAAGTAGTTAAACCAAATCACAATAATAAATATGAAATATGTAATTTCATATTTGTAAACATGAAAACCCAAAACCATGCATGTATATATATAACTATATATATACATAGAAACTAAATACATGTGTGTATATGATATTGAGCTTAAGGTACTTAACACACATAATATAAAACCTAAACTAAGTTACCCAAGCTAGATCTTGATCTTCAATAAGCTCGACTTGGTACACTTGCGGATGAAGCTTGAACTTGATCTTTAACTTTGAATTGCGTAGGCTTTACTCTATAATTCCGCCAACCTAAATTGGATATGATCGTTGTGGCGCAATCGATCCAACCTCCAACATATTTTTTGCCTAGAATAAATATAAAACACAAATACTAGACAAACAGTATTAGATGTAAATTATTTGTAAATCATCATCAAAACAAGAAGGCCAACAGTTGCTACAAGCAGAGCTCTTCTATGCCTTGAACCTGGACATTTTCTTCTCTCTAGAGTCTTATACCAAGGCCGGAATCTAATCCAAGACTTATGTCTTCCTTGTAGCCTCATATAGGATAGTATTTGATCACATATTTGAGCTGAAAATAAGCATTTAAAGAACAAATGCTCAACAGTTTTATTATGAGCCCACAAAGGTTACCGTGTGCATCATCTGTTCTCCCCCAAGCTTTAACTTTATCCTTGGTCATGAGCTTGTTGAGCATAACTAACCACAAGATTTTGTCAAATCATGCTTATGTATTAAGTTAAAAGATTTGAGACTGTTCATATCAGTGTAAGTGATAATGTGCATTTATAGTACTTGATGAAATAAAATAAATTGGGTTAGAGAGATTTGAACCTTGTGAAATTTTACATATACCTTAAAATTCACAGATATAATGGTATATTATTATAATCATAAATACCTTGGGCTCGAATTTAAAAAAAACAATAATAATTTAACCTTTTTTACCTTCAATAAATCATCATAGGCTATATCTCTTTCGCTCATTTGTTAGAACTATAAGTAGATATAGTAGTTTAATATATTTTGTCTAGAGAGCTTTATTTTTTTCCCTTTCCTTTTTTAGTTGTTTAATAATAATTGTAATTGACTCAATTGTTATATACTAAAGATTCTGAAATTTGGAAATTCCTATTAGAGAGTAAACTTTTACTAAATGGACATTATCAAATATCTTGCAATATCTTAATTCATGTAAGCAAATATGAGCTCAAATGCCAATTGAAATTACTATGAGGAAAGTACTAATTTCATGATACATATAAAAATTGATAATGCAATTGCTAAAGGAAATTATTAAGCTTACAAGCTACAAGTCATATGATAACTTAGAGAATTATAGTTAGCCAAAACGCATTTGCGTCTATTAGCTTAATTATTCTATTGATAGACTCTATAGCATAACAAATATTATAGATGTTAATGTAAGAAATGTTGGCAGACATTATAATGTAAGAAATATTGTAGATGTAATGGGTATTTGTTTAAAAAGAATGTTCTTTATAGGAGAGATTTATTTCTATATTGCTTTGTTCATTATCAATGATTCAATCAGTACTTAGGTGATCTGCTCTAATTCCTTATGCATCCCTGTTTCATGTTCCTTTAACTTTGTGTTCAGAAGGTTATATGTCTTGATTTGTCCTTTTTATTGTTTTAGCCTTTCCTATGACCATAAAACCATAGCGAAATAGTAAGAGACATGGGGGGCTGCTAGGAGATCAACAATTTGATGCTATTTAGTTGAGGTCAGGTCTTTGGTGAATGGAGATGTTTTTAAGCTCTATATTTTGTTGCTAAATGTTGCTAATGTTCCAATTTTTTGGTGTGAGTATGTTAGGAGTTGTTTTGATAGGTTTTTGATGTATACAGCTAGGGAATTTTATGTTTTTTTTGGTGTGATGTAATGAGAGATACTCTTCATTTTATTCTTTGGTTGGGGATTTTGATGATTATCTGTAAGTAGATTGTAATCACCCATTTTTTCAAAAATGTATTGCTCGGTTGGGGTCTTCTTTCAAGACTCAATCCTTTCTCTTAAGAAGACATGAGAAGAGCTTGACTTCATAGTGATTAACCGATGCTAGATAATTGTCTATGCTACTTGACATGTATTTTCTTGAAAACATATTGCACTTGCTGAACCAATTCTATTGTATTCTATCTTGAATGCTGGTCATATTATTTTGTTATAGGACACAAAAGATTTAATGTTCAATCCAAGTATCTCATTCATTCAATGAGATTATTAGGGTGATTCTTAGTTGTTATATCCAAATATCTAAAAGATTTTAACTTATTCGTTTTGACGTTGCATAAGGTCCAATGACTTTATTTTATGTCTATATATTTGATCCATTGCTTACATTCAATAATTTAATAACAAATCTTTCC